AACAACATTTACCCTGTATAGTCTCACTTACTTTTATATTTGATCAGGAATTAAAGTAGAGAAACACATTTCTCTAGCAAAGCTTCATGTTTTCCTTATAGTAAATTTAAACGACCACTATAGTGCCAGGAAAACAAACTCGTTTTCCTGGCACTATAGGGTCTTTAGGTCCCCCCCACCCTCAGGATCCCACTCCTGCTGGGCTCAAGGGGGCTGAAGGGATGAAACTCTTACATTTCTCCATCGCTGGGCTCCATCAGCGCTGGGGAACTCTCCTCCCTCTTCCGACGTCAGCTTTGAATGCGCATGCGCGGCAAGAGCCGCGCGCACATTCAAACAGTCCATAGGAAAGCATTTCTCAATGCTTTCCTATGGACTTCAGAGTCTTGGAAGCGCCTCTAGCAGCTGTCAGTGAGACAGTCACTAGAGGCTGGCTTAATCCTCTAGCCGTTTCTCTGAAACTGCTATGTTTACAGCTGCAGGATTAACCTGGCACCCAGACCACTTCTTTGAGCTGAAGTGGTCTGGGTGCCTATAGTGGTCCTTTCAGGGGCTTGAAATGGAAGGCTCTGTTCACTTCTTCCTACCCAGTAATAAAGTTTGAGTTAGTTACTTTAGTCATATGTTCAAACAATCTTGGAAGGGAAGAAAGGAGGGAGAGCTTGAAGAATTGAGAACTCCTCAAATTAGAATGTAGGGAGGTGTAGATGGGTGGAAAGGAAGAACACAAGCAAGGGAGGGAACATACAAGCTTCCCCTTGCAGACACACTCCCAACACACAGCATGCTGACTAGTAGCTATCATTTTTACACAAAATTAACATGAGGCAGCCTAGAACGCTGCTGAAGTCCCACATGCACCCAGTACAAAAGTGCAGGTACCATTGCATGTGCTTCATTTCAAGCAGAAACGCTGCATATGCAGATTCCAGGCTCCATGACCATTTATAAAGGAGAGGTGGTCATGGAGCCTGGAGTAGCCATTTAATGTTAATGAGAACATGGATCATTTGTAAGGTGATATTTCAACTTGCAAACTCCTGCATCATACAACGAAAGAATCCCCATACACAGATACTCATTTTACATTATGTTCACTTTGCATGAAACTGTCAAATTGCAAAAAATGAGAGAGCACAGATTGTGAGGTGAGTAAAAAGTGAGTGATACAGGTTCCTCTCTAAGCATGATGTTTCTTTTCCAATACAGTCCACTATTAAGAAACGTAGGTTTACATGAAGAACCCACCACTTTATTTGAGTATAGATTAGCAGAGAGGAGACAAAAGGCCAGAAAGATGGACTCACACACAAGATAAACCAAATTGGGGAAAGAGAGAATGTGTTATATTGGGAAGCTAATAGGTCATCACAATATGGAAACAAAGGAGAGAAAGTTGCAAAGATGAAACAAGACTACATGCAGGGGTGAAATCAAGTAGATAATTAACAAATGACATTGGGTTTCACAAGATGGAGAACAATTTAAAAGTAAGCTAGCATGATCAGGGCTCACAAGTACATCTTGATCCTGTAAGTCAAACTTGTGAGTTAAACTTATTTGTATGTCTAATAAACATAGAACATTGAGGAAAAAATTGGAGCATTATGAACAATAATAATAATAATAAAGCAAGGGATACAGGCTGTTGGGGTGCTGGTCACAAGAGATACAGGGGAATTGAAACTGGGGCATGACACGCACAAGAGACACAGAGAGCAAGACGAACAAAAGAGGAAATTAATATAGTAAAGACTGTCTTGTCAGAAATATTTTGAACTACAGGCTGACCCACATTCCAGGCTAGGGTTAGGAATGATATTAAATGATCGTTTGGAATTTTTCAGGAAGAATTAGTGCTAATTGGAATTAGCAGTGAAATCCTATTTCACCCTATAATTTTCTAAATATATATTAATGGGCAGGGCCTGGAGAAATATATAGAAAGCAGCCGTAAGAGATTGTGTAAAGCTTTCAACAGCCATTGTGTTCATTCCATGATTCACGTTGTGTGTTTTATTTCAGATACGTTAAGGAAGTTTCATTCATCCTTAAATGAAAGATCATGCAAAGTTATAATTGTGCCTCAGGACGGTGAAAAAGTGTAAAAGCATTTGTTATTCATTACCCAGTTTCACTGTAAAGCATTTATTGTTCAGACACTTACTGATAATCTCTGTGTACCATTCTCATAAATATGATAATGCTCGGAATATTGTATTTCGCAATACACGAAAGTTGTCAGGCTTTAATGCAGAATGTCAATTCAATTAAACATTAAAAGGGACATGCATGAATCACTTACAAATTATTATTTAAAACTAGCAAGCAAACATGTCCAGTCTTGAAATGTATAGCTCTAAGTATTTCCTTAACTAATTGTCATCTGTGCAAGGGTGATACTATCATGTAGGACTAAGAAAGGAACATACCGCCTGATCTGTCTTCTGTCACTTTGTACCATGTATTAAACTGGAATGTTTCCTGGTTTATCCGTGAACACTACCAGAGCTACTTGTTATCCAGCCAGTCTGAGTGCAATCCGCATATCACGTTGTGCGTTGTATTTCAGTAATTAAATTCATGTGTCAATGTCACCCATTCAGTTTCAATCTCCTGGGTAGTTACTGTCTCTTGTTCCATGATGTACCTCCTTTCCACCTCCACTGATATCCATATGTGTTTGTTGTTCTTTCACTCCAGTTTGCACTTCAGAACCCTACACATAAATCAGCAAAGTTTGAAGACATATGCCCAGAGATCAACCTGTTGAAAGAAAAAGATAATACAGACACAGATACTACAATGGCAACAAGGCTCTAGCTAGAGAACGAGACCATAAAACGATGTTACATTTACTATCCTGACTCCTTCATTTTGGGTACTAATCCAAATATACTCAAGTTTGTCTTTTCCTTTTTAATAATTACTGTCTCTATTACAGTACAGGGGTGACAGTTAAGAATATCTTAACCTCCTTCAAGACCAATGATCTGTAGTGTATGTCTTGGTCCGTTACACACAACAATGTACACTCTTGGAGGATAGGGAGAATCGGGACTCTGGGGGATAAATGGGTTGTGAAATATATTGCTAGTAGGCACTACAGGGGGAATTTAAACTGAATGGGTTTATCTCAATGCTTACCTTTACAAATGTGACCTCATAGGAATAGCAATATGTTAAATGCAGCAAGCCTTCCATTAAAAATCGTGCAAATGGTACACACCACAATTGCAGATGTACCGCACTATTATTTGGCTGACAGCTAAGACAATGTTATTGTCTTTCACATTGATCAATGAGTCTGGTAGCCAATCTATTACACAATGCATTGTTAGGGTTAGCGTTAGCTAGGGTTAGTTTGGATTCGAGAGGTGTAGGGTTTGGTATAGTTAGCGAGAGCTAGGGTTAGTTAAAAATAGATAGGGTAAGGATTAGCTAGAGTTACCTAGGTTAAGAGTTAGCAAGGATTAGCTAGAATTAAAGTTAGCTAGGGTTCGAATAGCATAAAAGTTTGACAAATGTGCCAAATAGTGTGTATTTGAAGCAAGCAAAAAAGAATCTCAAATTTGTGCACGGCTGTAATTTTACATTCCCCAAAAACCTTGCAAAGGATAATATGTGGGTTATTGCTGTTCCCAAATATGCAGCATATTACAAATAAGGGACCTTGGAAATAGTAGAAAACCTTTTACTAGTGTTACTGTTTTGACAATGTTATTTAATAAAATTAAATGAAATATGTATTAATTGTATGTGAAAAAAATAGATTAAAATTCACTGTTAAATTTGACAGAAATTAGTCACAAATGTGAAAAGACTCAAAGGGTTTTATATTAAATAGAATGAGTTGTTTTCTTGGCAAATGGCATGTCATAATATAGTATGTAAGTAAATACATAGTAAGTAAAGTAAGTTACTGCTATTTCCCCCAAACATTACATGTGCCCAGTGTGGCAAACGTTTACATTAGAGGTATTGCTGTACTCAGGGGTACTAGCACAATGCAAATGTTTGGTATTTACAGCAGTGAGAAATATGGTGTTTTTGACTTTCCCCACTTATGTTTGGGTGGTAGAATTATGTGTGCTAAATAAATGCATGTTGTGAGTCAACTCTGATAAATGCGCCTGAGCGGTATAAAACCTGCTTGAGGATTTATGGAGCTTCTCCTCTTCTGATTTGGTACGATGTCTGTTGTTATTCTATATCTAGATGAGGAGCCAAATCAGAAGAGAAGAAACTCCATCAAATATTATACTGCTCATTTATTAGAGCTGATTTCCAGCTGAGAAGAATGTAAGTGTATTTACTTATCTCACAAATAATTCTATCACACAAACATACTACACCATTGGATTTTCTGTTATTTATTTTTCATATCCTTCCTGAGCATTAAAGGCTCAATCTCCATTCTCCTTTCAATCTATTTTATTAAAACATACACAATTGGCATATCAGATAAAAAATATATATATATATAAAGATTTAAATATATAAACTTATCAGAAGTATATTAGTTTACTATCCTCATGAATTATGATGTCCTAAAATCGTTGGGCACAATAGAAGATGTGGGGTAGAAACATAGAATGTATCTTTAGATAATAACCATTTGGCCCATCTATTCTGCCAAATTTTCTAAATACTTCCATTAGTCCCTGGCCTTATCTGATAGCTAGCATAGCCTTATGCCTATCCCATGCATGCTTAAATTCCTTCACTGTCTTAGCCTCTACCATTTCAGCTGGAAGACTATTCCATGCATCCACTACACTCAGAGTAAAGTAATACTTCCTGATATTATTTTTAAACCTTTGCCCTTCTAATTTAAGACTATGTCCTCTTGTTGTGGTAGTTTTTCTTTTACATATAGTCTCCTCCTTTACTGTGTTGATTCCCTTTATGCAGTTAAATGTTTCTATCATATCCCCCCTGCCTCGTCTTTCCTCCAAGCTATTCATGTTAAGATCCTTTAACCTTTCCTGGTAAGTTTTATCCTGCAATCCATGAACCAGTTTAGTAGCCCTTCTCAGAACTCTCTCTAAAGTATCAATATCCTTCTGCAGATAAGGTCTCCAGTACTGCATACAATACTCCAAGTGAGGTCTCACTAGTGTTCTGTACAATGGCATGAGCACTTCCATCTTTCTACTGCTAATACCTCTCCCTATACAACGAAGAATGTTCATTCTGTTAGTGTATGTGTCTGTGTGTGTGTGTGTCTGTCTGTCTGGGGGTGGTGGTGTGGGGGGGAGGCCAATGGATCAGTTTTGCACCGGGGCTCCATGGATTGTGTGTACGCCACTGGCTATGTCCTAGTCATTTTTCTTATTATACCATGTCTCAGTAACAGCGACTAAATCTACATTATCATTTGCCACAAGTTCATGGATCTTAATCCCTAAACTGCTAGCATTTGTAGACATGGCTCTAAGCTTATCATTTTTTAATGTTTGAGTAGTTAGCAAAATATAGTTTAGGTAGCATAAATTATAGATTCAAATTATATTTTATGGAAGGGGACATTTGTTTGTGTTTGACATAACAAGACGCATGTTGAGGCTAGATAATTTAGGATTTCTATGAGAGCTGCTATTAGACTCACTTGTTTACTGTAATTGGGAAGTCGATGACTAATTTTGGTTCAGCATTTGCTCATTTTAAAAAATCTTGTTAAGATGATAAAAGAATAAGTGTATATTTATTCATCTGGCTGCTTATAAAATCTGAAATGCCACGCAATGTGAAACTTATGCAATTTAAGAGTTAAGGCCTTATTTGCCAACTTCTTACTTAAGTGCATCCAAACAATGAGCATTGTACAGAATGAATAATGCATAGCTTTCACAATGAATGAAAATGAATGTGTGTTGTGTCTCAATTTATATTTAGATACTTTTATTCATGTGAAAGTATTGATAGAAGAAACTGCCAGCAACAGTTTGAACATTTAACGATAAGGTGAGTGCAAAAACTTAAGATAATGCAATGGAGTAAGCAACATTTTCCATTCATCTTGCAGTAATGTGTAAAATGTAGAAAAATAAACATAAACACACTGTGTGCCTTTCTCCACAACCGCAAAATACATTTACTCTCCTCCTTGTTTTAATTTTCACAAGATTAAAATGAAAGGGAAATTTAAACTTAGGCCATAAAACAAAAACGTTCAGCTATATTGGCCTATGTTTTAAAATTGACTTTGAATTTATGCCTTATGAAGAACTCTGTTCAGACTTTAAGTGCGGTCGGTCGTAGAATTTGGTAGATGGCACCATTCAGAGGAATACAGTGTAAGAGACACATAATGATGACTATCAGTTTTATAAAGATTTCAACCCCGAGGGATTCAGTGTTCTTTACAAGTGAATGTATAAGATGATTGGATGGGTCATAAAAGTAAAGATCATTTAAAGTGGAAACAAGCTGTCAATTTTAAATTGACAGCTGTGAGCTATCTAAATATTCCAGTGAAAAAGGTTACTTTTGAGCCATCCTTTAAAGTATCCAGTGATGGGACCTAAAAAAGGCAGAGAGGTTCAAAGTGTGGGAATAGCGTGGCTGAACTTGAATTTGCTTTCACTTTAGGAACTGAAGAAGCATGAGTGATTGAAAGGATGGAGATGAAATGTACGGAGAAGAGAGATTCCTCAGATAAAAAGCCCCCCACAAAATTAGGACTCTGAAGGTCTGCAAACTTTCCTTAAAATTGATTCTTCAAATGACTCGTGGGCAGTGGAGAAAATGGAGAGAAAGGTTGAGAATTTAATGCAGCTGACTGGCAAAATAAATATGCTTAAGAGTGTAACAAATGTCTTATGTTGTTCCTCAAAATTCACTGGTCTGCATGTATTTGCCTAGTGCCCTCAAAGTGTCAGTGATCTTTAAGGGTTCACCTTCAGTCAGTTATCATGTATCCTGTCTACGAGATCTATTTTTACATTTCTTGATAAAAGATAGTGGATCCCTTGATTTTAGAACAAAAGAGAGATACTCCATCCAATGATTGCCTCCATGTACTATTTTTGGGTAAGCTTTTCAAATTGTTTTATCAAAATTATACCATATCAATATATCAAACAATTTAAAAATATATATTTTTAAATATTTTTCTAAATATTGTTATTTTAAAAGTTTATCCAAAATATAGATCATTTGAAGAGCTTATCTAAAAATATAAAGTTATTTTATCCAGAAACATTAAATCAAGGCCTCAAAGCTCAAACCTCTCATATTTTTGGAACTCTGGCGTATGTCTTGTTTACCATTGTTTAATTTTGTGTAATCTTGGTGATGTACTCCTGCATAGCTCTTTTTTGTTGACATACTTGTTGTATTGGAAAAAAAACTCACTAAAAACATCAGTTACAAATATGTGAGGTAAAACAGATTAATGGTTCCGGCCTAAGAGGATATATTTCTTGTGACACTCTCATTGAATCTAAGGATAAATTTTAAAGCATATTTTTATTGTCTGGGTGTATTAAACTATAGTGGTAATATATACAGAGCAAATCTGTAGCAGCAAAGACTGTTGAGCCAACAATAACGTTAACCAGTACTTCTATATTAATGACACTCAAACAATGATAAGAGTTAAGGGCATAGGCCAAAACGTTATTGAGTTCCACTCACATAACAAAATGTTCTTTCAATTACTAACCTTTTAACAAATTACCTGCCTCCAACCCCCCATGGCAAACCGGGTTTCCCGGAGTTCTTGTCCTGCTTTTCCATTGGTTGACTGCAGGGTACATCACTCCAAAGCCATCCATCTCCTTTAACACCGTGATAACACATGGGAACAATAAATAAGGAAACCAAAACAGAAATGAAGTGTAGTTTTGGAGAGGGGTTGGGAGTGAGATATGTTCTTTATCCTTTAGTCAACAACTTTAAACTCCCCCTTCTACATTGCAACCTAAATTCATATTTTCATAAAATTTCCTGTTCTTCTGATATGTCAAAGTTTTACTTGCTCTCATGTTTTTTATAGATTGTCCTGCATAACCTTATTAAAAAAAATGTGATTGAGATAAATTTATAATTATACATCACCAGGCAGATCACCTGTCAGCTACCATCACTGGACCTTTTTTTAATCATTGGACACACCTGCCCAACTCTATCTTTGTGCAAAGGACACCCCATTTATGCTTTGCAACATGTATATTTATAGTCATTGTATGCTACAGTCCAGAAAGAGCTTTTTTTATTTTATTTATTTGTTACTCTCCCTCATCAGCACATAAATCCTATTTATTGCATGCCTTTGAAATGAATGTTATCCGTTTAACATCAACGAGGCCACTCTAAGCTCTCCTGGCAGCACGCAGCTTTAGCCACCCTGTTTCAATAGCGACCTGAGCAAGCATTACCTCCATCTCATTTCTCCATATAACCTGGTAATCCAGTGTTACCTAATCGCGCAAATGATTTACTGATGCTTTCAATTTGTCCCTTTTGACCATGTACCCACATGCTCAACTTTTTCATCTCTTTCCTGTTACAAATATAGCTGTCCGCTCTACGAATTGCAAACATATCCTAAAAGATCAGTTCATTTAATTGACACGGAGGGCAGATGTACAGCACAAATTGTACATGATGTTGCAATAAATTGCAGGTTTTCTTTTCATGTACACAAAGAAGGATTGCCTTGGTACAATTAACTACAGCTGGTTTGGGAAACAAAGCATGCGTCTGCCGATGGCTCAGACAAGAGGGAACCAACTTGAATTTTCTGGCATTTATCATAGTAAAAGAGAAAAAAGGACATACAATTTTCATTCCAGGGTACAAACAAACTTTAATAACCTCCATTTCCCCTCCTAGATGACTAAACCGGTAAGAGCTCAGAACTTTTACTTTATGGCATTCACAGTGCATTCCATCAGACAGCCCTACTATTACAATAACTAGGACAACTTTCTAAGACTTGATAGCACATTGAGCTATTTTCTTTTCTGAGTACAAGTAATAGATGTGTTTTGCACATTTCAGTGCTAGAGGATGTCGAATGCATTAACTATTTACATTATGGATGGCTGTATCTACGTAGCACTCACAGGCAAAGATGGATACAATTTGAATCATGAAATATTAGATTTATATTTGTTTTGTGCAATTTTTTTTTCATAGGTTGGGTCAAGAACAAAGTTGGTTTGGGGGATAGTGCTTACCCCTTAGAGCATGAGGTTATGGACACAACAGCATTCATGTGACAGTTTTGCAGCTCATGGTACAGTTCCACAAATCGGTGCCAAAAGTATTTTGGAAGTTTGAAAGGTAGTGACAGATCCCTGACATTCATAACCTGAGAGCTAAGTGCTCTTCAACTGCATATGTGGTACCAATCAGTCCTGGACTGGCCATTGGGGTGAGGCTGGTTGGAATGCATTTGTGCCGATGGGGAGATCAGCCAGAAAGGCTAGGAGGAGGGTAAATTCTCTTTGACTTCCCAACAATTCACTCTATACTGAATAACCCTTTTAAATATTTCACCTAAAAACAAAACTTGCCGTTTATGAAGCATGTTTCACCCAACAACGATTCTGCCAAAACTGCAGGTTAGTAGAGTACGTTAAGTAATTCTTACAAAGCTGCTGTTTAAATCGTTTTTCTTAATTTTTCTCTTTTTTTTTTTTTTCTTTGAGAAATTGTCTTCAGGCATTGTGAAAATCAAAGAGATTTATTCTTCTTTAGACATACAATTTATGGCACCTGAGAAAATAAAAAGAACAACAAATCTGTATTACATGGTTAGCAAAATAAAGGAGCCAGGGTGTGCGGCGAGACAAATATTTCTATCATCTGAAAACCTATAATTTTCTTTTACTAATGTACTGTATGGAAACCGTATGAGACCTGTTTGTGTAATCAGTGACTTACTGTCTGGTAGGCGTTAAGGTAATTAGACAAAGGACGTGTAAGTAGTTAACCCTTTAATAGCCTGCGTTATTAGCAACCATCGTAAGAGTCAATGCTGTGGACACAGTTTTAAAACATTCTGTTAAAACATTTTTTTAGATTATCTTCCAGGCCAGGGGTGTAAAACTGCAGTAGAATACAATTGGTTATATTTTTATAAGTTGGTTGAATACAGACAAATTACCCTGAAATGGTTATTTGCTGTGATTATTTCATGTTCTGAGAGATGAGACAAACAGGACCAATATGAATATAATGGATGGTAAAAAATTAATGAATGGATATTTTC